GCACACCGAGAGCACTGCCCCACAGCCCACCCTCTGGAGCCCCTAACCCAGATCCCAAATGGCTATTAGCCATTGGCACCCCTGAAACCCCACAGGACATCTCTGGAGCCCCTGCCCCAGATCTCGAATGGCTGGCAGACCGGAAGCCCCACCTGGGCAGGGAGTGGCCACAGGAGTCCAGAGCAAATAAAAGCAGCAGCAAAAGGCCTCCAGATGGTCAAGGCCCCATTGTCCTTGGATTTGTGGTAGTTGGTTCTACACTGGATCTAAGGTAGGAACTATAATTCTCTCTTTCTCTTGCTCTCACTCTCTTCTTTTTTACTTCTTCTCATAATTCCCTTTTCTTGATATTTGGAAAACTTAAACCTGGATGGGTTGGAATTTGCTAAGTCAATGCTTTGTGAAGTTCTTTATGTTGATTGGATGTGTGCTTTAAACTTTTGCCAAGTTCCCTTATTTTCCAAAGTTTGCCGGTAAAGATGTGTTATTTTGACCCCCTGAAAAGCATCGTAGCATTTTTCCTGTGCGTGGCCTCAAGGTATAAAAGAGCCAAAGGCTCCCTTAATAAATCCATCAGACAGATTTTTGGAGCCTTACATCTTTTTTGGCATAAAACCCCTTCGATGAGCTCGCGAGGCGAGCCTGGCGTCTTACACTATGCCAAAATAGTGAAACTAATGGAGCCTGCTAATTCATTTTATATAGTGATGCAATGACAAGTGACAATTTGAGCATGCATTTTAACTGAGTACTCATTTTTACTTGTGATTCATATGAATAACCAATTATGTCTTTAAAGGAGACTACTATATAGAACAGACTTTCAAATATTTGCTCTGCTTTAACTGTATTTTAAGGAGAATTTTTTAATCTATTTTAATTTTGCTAAATGTCAATGTATTGCCTGACGTTTTAGCTGATATTTGCCATGTTAGCAATTTATATTTTCCTAATATAAATTTTGTTTTCCCGTGTATCATACAGATATATGTTCTATATCACTGAGCTGCATACAATCATACAGATTTATGATCTAGACATTTGTATGTCACACACATAAAAGCTCAAACTGCTTCAAGTTATTCCCTGATTTAAGGCATTCTACTTATGCTGCAAGTTAGCGCACCTTCATGACATCCCAGGGCAACTTTTATTTCTTTGCACCAAGAAACTCTTCCAATCTTGGTCAGCTTGAACAGTAACACAATCCAAGAAAATTACTGTAAATCCTTGTAACTCCTAGAGGTAAAACTGTACTACCCTGGAATGCTACTCTCTGTAATCAAGTCATAGAATCATAGAATCATTGAGGCTGGAAGACACTTAAGTTCATTGAATCCAACCATTAACCCAGCACAGCCAAGTTCTCCACTAAACCATGTCCCTAAGTGCCACATCTACACATTGTTTAAGTGATTGAAATCTTGATTTAAACTGGAATACAAGTTATGCTAGAATTATAATAGCATACCTCTTCTATACACATCGTATCACAGAAGCATCTCAACTGACCTTTGCAATGCCTTTGTATGAAGGTAATTAGGAAATCATAAATGTAATGTAGAGGAGGAATTAAATTAAGTCTTCAAGACATAGCTCTGCTTAAAATAATTTAACACATGCTACTAATGAAAGCCACCACTAATCTTGATATTAATTTTTTATTCACATAATATGGTTCTTTTTTCCCTTCTTACACATTTTCTCTGTTTAGTACATGAATAAATCCAATTAACATAATTTGAGCACTCAGATAGCACTTTGCAGGATCAAAAGCCCTTTGGAAGAAATGTAGATTTTCTATGGCAACAGGGCCAGAAGGGGTTCCCCCTCTTTGTTAGAACTTTTAAGCACAACAATTACCATAGTAACAGTTATGGCCATCCTCATTTCAGTTCAATAAATTCAGTGACATGCTTTCAATTTGCTGACATGGAACGGTAGGACTATAAAATAATCCTGTATATTGAATTTGTAGATTTTCCTCTTTGAAATATGGCTGCTTTGCTACTCGTCTGTTGACAATTAGATCCAATATAAATAACTGAATCTCAAGATATTATGAAGGACTAACTGGACAAGAATTGCATAAGTGACTAAATGCAGTTTTTCAAAGTCTAAATTAACTCCTCGAATTGATCTTTATTTTGCAAAACATTTTATCATTATAATATAGTTTTAGAGGAGAAATAGAATGTGTTTTACCTGTTTCCTGCTACACAGTGGAGAACGATGGGTAAAATTACCATATGCTGTATTTTTTTCCTTTGGTATCTTTTCCACACTGGGAATTTTTTAAAGGCATGCAGTTATGCAGATACCTATAGTGGATAGCTGGTACTTTTAAATGTGTTTCTAGGTAGGAAGGAGTAGAAAAGCAACAAGAAGGCATATAGCTCTTATAAAAGTGCAGGATCTCTGTGGGGCTCCACAGACTCCTGTGGAAACTGAGCTAGAACCTGCAGTACTGCTATTCCATCAGAAAAGGGTATAAAGTATTTTACCTGGGGAAACTCCTGCAGGGACTTACTCCCGTGACAGAAATTTTCCTTTAGTGGAAAAGAACAACATGGTCCTGTGGGGAATTTTCACCTTGTCTTACGAGACATCTGTGCTGAGCTGACAACTTGTTTCACCACATTTACAGTGATCTTAAATAAGGTCATTCAGAAAGTGTAATTGTGCCAATGTTAAGCTAAGTTAACCTTGATGCATTACAATATTAAAATATTCCAAATTTAAAAATTGTTAGTTTTCATTTTAGGACAGAAAACTAAAATTTCTGCCAGATTATCATGCAGAAAAACTATGTAATATGCATTACATTTTTCTCTAGATTCTAATAATAAAATACAGTTATTCTCACTGATAGCTTTTCTTCTGTGTATTTTTAGACTGAGGTAAGTATTTCTGAGTAATGTAACTGCCTTAGAATTGTGTGTCTGTGTGTGTGTGTGTGTGCGTGGGGCCAAGACAGAAAGGAATACTTATTTCAGAAGAGGAGGATTTAGTATGTTGTCTTCCAAAATATATAAAATAGATATATGTTCTTCCAAAATACTGCCATAATAGTCATAGGAAGATGTTCAAAATTAATTTAATGCAGAATCTTTCTTATTAGTTTCAGACTTGAAGCAGCTGGAGCAGGACATTTTCATTTTGTATGAGCAATTCTCATTCTAAATGAATGGAATTTGGATCAGTGTTTCCATATTAAGAGATGGTTCTGCCACAGCTCATCTTTTCCATCAATAATAGGTACCTGTCACCCCTGACAGTTAAGAAATCCTAACTGGTACTGACTGTTTTCAGATATATTTCAAAATGAGACTTAAGCAAATGTTCTTCTCTTGGCGGTTTGAGTACTTATTTGACTTTACTCAGTTTGCAGATGCAAATAGGCATGTCATAAATACACAAGCATTTTTACAGCATGCTTTATTAATTCTTTAAGTCAGAGATTGTTCATCATCTGTCAGAGGCAGATTTACTGGAATGGGCTAAAGGACTTTTAAGTCCTTTCTTCTCACAGCCTACCCCATTAGTACTGTCAGCCTTCATCACAACGATGAAAAAAAACCTTTACAACATTTCTCCCATAGCCACTTCATGACAGTTTAAAGCCTATCCAAAGCAATGCTTCAATTTACTCAAAACACTTTTAATTTTCAATTAAAGCCTAATGATAGTTCTCCCACTTTTGTCTTAGCTCTGACAAGACAAAAGCATGACTGTAGTTTACCAGCCAAGCAGTTTTTAGGAATCTCAGAAATACTATATCTATGTGATTGATATTGTGTGTCGCTGTTTTCGTAAAGCTGGGGTGATGGGGATGTCTTTCTGTCTGCTCCAAGTTTGTTTTCTAAAGAATTCCCAGCAAATACAAGCATATAATTCAGAATCAGTTTTGCAAGCATTCTCACTGTCCTTGGAGTAACTGTGGTGCTGTTCTACCAAAGCCTAATCAGTACTGTCAGAGAGCACCAAGGGCCAAGCTGCAGAAGACAAACACCTGTAAGGACAAGAATGGAAGTGGAGACTCCATGACACTTATATATCTTCAGTGGTACTCTTTACAGGAGGAGTAGGTCACAGCAGAATTCTAATCAAACAAAATGACCCATATCCTTCATTTGCATAAGGGATAAAACCTATGCCGAAGTACATGGAGTTGATTTAGGATCGAATGAAGATCGTGAAACAACATGAGGTAGAGTCTCAGTGCCATAAAAAGTTAAAATCAACTTGTGTGATATGTACCTAGAGTCTTTGTGGCAGCAGTTGTACGTTCCCAGGAAAATGGCCAAGGATTTTATAAAGATGGCTGTCAAATGTGTGAATGAGAAACTCTCCCTAAAAGTAAAGAAACTTCCTCATCTTGCGTTTGAGTCATCAAAACTGGTCCGTGACCTCTAATTAAAGGCCTTTTAATTCTTTGTTCATATTCTTGCCTACTTTTCCTATCAGTGAAACAAATCAAGTATATACAAATAATTAAAATAATAAAATAATACATATTCAGAAAACTGTATTCCGATTTTTACAGGGAGAATCTGACAAAAGAATGTCTTCCTGAGCTTTTATCTGTAATGGTATTTTTATAGGTCAACTTTTTTGCTTTTTCTCATGCATGCACACAACTACTGTTCAGAACATTAAATTTTCAGATCTTAAAATAACATTTCACCTATGTTATTCAGCACGACAGTCTGAAAATTCACATGAAAAGAAGTACATTTCTAGTGATGTTGGATGCTGAGACTTTTATGCTATGGGTTAGAATGCATGTCAAAAGACAGGTTTGGGAAAGAAAAAAGGCTGCTGTTGTGCTTTTTGGTTTCTGAGAAATTAAATTATTATTAATCAACCCACATTTTTATATACTGATGAACATAAAAGTTTAACACTGCCTCAACTGTAGAGATTAAGGAGAGAGACAATAAATCTTGTGATAGGGAAGGTGATGGTCTTAAAGGATATATTCTTCAACTACTTTGCAGATCTCAAGACTAACACAAGGACACAGTATTTTACAAAAGGGAATTAAAATGTTCCTCTCTTTCCTGCCTACGTCTCCAATTGGAAGCCAGGGATGTTTTTTAGCCAGTAAGTCTTTGCCCGCAGGGGAACATAAGATTATGAATCTCTTTTGTCATGAAAAGCCTAAACAAAAATACATGTTTGCTAAAATTTTTGAAAATAAAGGTAATGGATTATTGTAAATATTAATTTAAATTTGTTTTGTCCTGATCGCATCATGAACAGCAGATGTTGCAGCAGAAACATCCACACGGCAGATTGTCCGGATGTACAGCAGGCTCACTGAATGTAAAGGAAGTTTGCTGTCAGGAGTCCTCAACTGTGTCAGCAGTTTGGGATGTGACCCGTGCTTAGCCTGCGGGAAGGGGGAGTGTGGCTGCTGAAGGTCCCTGTGATAATGCCTGTGCTGTCCAGATGCAGACCACCTACACGTGTCTGTGAACTCCACTGAGGTGCGTGTGGCTGTTTCTCCATGCATGCAATGCATTCTCTGCCTTGCACAGTTCTCCTAGCACAGAGCTAAACCTGGCAGCATTGCTACAGATGCTTTTCTGGCCAGAATTCCTGGCATGAATTTTAAGGAAGGGTTTGCTTGCAATCACCTGATAGAAGAATATAGTAAATGATTACTTGCAGCAGAGAGCACAGTAATCCATTGTCAAACTGTAATGGGAAAAAAAAAGATGGTATTTGTGAAGAGAAACTAAGTATTACATTGTGATGGCTCTTTATTGTCAAATGTTTGAAAAATTAAAGCAAAGTACAAATGCTGTGGTTGATGGTGTTGCCTTTGACTGGTTTTGTTTTGTTTTGTTTTCAGTTAGCATTAAGCTATGTCTTTTAAGTATAGGAAATATCATTAAAATTTTGTTTAAAATTATGATAGATTTAATTTTGTGCATCACTGGTGAAAGTCTGGGTTTTTTCCATCCCATTAGGCAGTTTTTTGGTAAAGACTCCTGGTATGAAAATAATTGCTTCCGAATACATAATTTTTTAAAAGTGCTTGGCAAACCAGACATCACAGAGAGCTACAGAATGAGTACATACTGGGGCTGTGGGATGGTCTGGGCTGTATCGGAAGCATGTGCCCACTCTGGAGCTCTGAGTTCAGATACCACTGAATGTGGGCACATTATGGAAAGACAGAGAAATAGTTTCTGTTCTGTCTGTTCTACTTCTTTCCTGAGAGCTTCTCTTTCCATGATAAGAGGAGGTAAAGAGCCTAAAAGTGCCTTTAAAATTTCATGGGCTGAAGGTGGAGAAGGTGTCTGAGGTGTCTGTATTCCTTTGTGAAATGTGTGTCACTAGACAAAAGAGAGGAAGCAACCAAAAACCAAATGAGTTCTGAAGTTCTGCACAACCTTTGTTTCCACTCTGGTACAGGCCAGACAGATCCTATTTCATTTATTATTAAAACTCCTACTGAACTTTTGGAAATTAATACCAGGGAAGAACGTATTTTGTGTGGAAAAGTGCTGTAGAATACCAGTGAGGACAACGTGACTGCGAATGACAGTGGGAGTGTTTTTATTTCATCTAAGTTTGAAATAGGAGAACTGGATAGACTGCTGAAAGCAACTCTAGCAATGCAATATCCAGTATCGGGAGAACAAAATCCTTTTGTTTCCTGACCTCGGCCTCATCAAACAAACTAAGAGAAAAGTGTTATTGAGCCAGAGGAATCTGTTTACTGGAATGAACACCAAAGCTCTACGATGGCATCTTACAGCACAGAAGACATTGGAACAGAACAGACCTATTCTGGAAAAAAAAAAGCAGCAACCACGCACAGATGGCAACAAAGTCAATGGAAAATGAACTTGCACGACCTACAAAGTAAACTGTCAATAATTTTGATTGCTTTGTTTAGCTGACAGCTGTGCCTAAAATGGATCTCAGTTATACTGACATTAGATGTTTTAAGGACTCTTTAACTGACATGCACATTTAATTCTATGTGAAATGTTCAAGTTAAATATGCTTGTGTCTTCAAAAATGTATGATCTGGTTGAGTTGAATAATGGTGAAAAATATCTATCCAAAATGAATGTTAATTTTTTATATTGTAGAGTTAATGAAGCTGTTTCTTAGTGCATTCCCGTAATGATCTCTGGAAGCTCCTGATCATCTTGCTGTAATATCAAAAGACTTTCTTTAGTATTTATGTTTTGTGTTCTGTACCAAACATGCTTTGGTATATGAATATTCTTTTACTCTATATCTTGATATGCATTTGCTTGCATATGTTACTAATCATCTAAGCTATGTACTTTGCCTCCTGAATGGATGATATACTTCCAAAATAGGAAAAATATAGTGTATCATAAATAATGCATTTTTATGTTAGATATTTGTATTAATTTCTTTATTTGTCTTAAACTTTATGATTTTTCTAGAATTTATGAACATTTTTAATAGATATTAGTGTAACAGCAGCCAACTGAATTCTCCACTTTTTATTCAAAATCACTTCTATTATTAGTAAAAATATGAATATATTAAGTATGATCCTACCAATTATATTCCAATATATTATTGAAATTTTTCCACAAGTGTATTCATGTTTTTAAGAAGTATGTACAAAAAGATATAAGACGGAAAGAAATATTTGTATAATAGCCCAAAAGTTATAAAATGCAGTTGTGGTTTCTATCTTTAGTGAAAAAACAGAAGCTATAAATTACAAGATAGAACTTGTAAATCTGAACTTGAATCTGAAAACAATGATATACTTTGACTTTTCATAGACCCATTTCATCCAGTGGGTGAACTACACACTCCAAAAAATTACTAACTTCAACAAAACATGCAATAAATCATACGACCCTTCCTCACACCTGCAGAAAAGGGTTGGGTAAGCAGCTGAATCTTGCGGAGTGTCCCAAAGGTCATCGTCTCAACCTCAGGCTCTCGTGCAGCACAGCAGTGAAAGCAGGTGTCCTGCACACCTCCTCTTGTTCTCCCTAGTGTGACACTGTGCCTTTTTGATTCGACATAGTTCCTTTGGCATGCTTCACAGCATCGTGGCCTCTCATGCACTTGTCGATTTTATTTATCTAGGAAAAAAAAAATAAAATCAATTATCTGTAGCTCCTCTGCAGCTCTCTAAAGGACTAGGACAAGATGCGCTGATAGACTCAACAGATCAACCCAGTCTAAGCAGCACGTCATTTTATCAGGCATGAAAGCAAAGAGATGTAGGTATACAGTTTTGTGTTTTCTATAGTTATATCTAACTTCTGCAATCCTTTTTTTAGCATCTGAAACGAAACATCCTCTTGATACTTAAATTCTGAATGTTATTGTGTCTCCTGACCGGCACAGATATCACAAGCTGAAATCTCAGATACCTGCTGAAACAGCACTGATAATTTGTTTGATTCTGAACAAATTTTAATCCTATATAATTTATTTTCATGTTTGTTCTCTTTTCACAACCTGTTCTCCTCCCCCACTGCTACTGAGTCCTGTTATCCTGGATTATATGTGGCAAAAGAATGGAATGGCAGATGGGGCTGCTCCATATTTAATGCCTTCAGGGAGAAGAAGAACACAGGGGCGTGCAGAGCACATGTGTGGTCCAACAGCAGTTTGTCAAGGCAAACCCTCAGAAATGTGGAAAGTTAGTGCCCCAAGAATGACTCTTCTGGTGCAAGAAAGCTCACTATTGTCTTATGAATTTATGAAGCACTCAATCTGACATTTTGTAAATCAGAGATTTTGCTGAGAATGCTGGGGAAGATTTGGAAGAGAAGGCAAGTGAAAAGGGATCAGCTCTCCTGTTTCTCAAGTTCTGGGAGGTGATACTGTGGATGGGCACTAACAGTACAAAAACTAGATCATGGCTATACTGAATCTTAGAAGCTGTACTTCAGTGTGATCTATGCACGTGTTTGCAGAGAGTAACACACTTTGTATAATGACCTGCTTTATTATGTTCATATATCCTTTGTCCCCGGGTGGTGGTGTGTTGTTTAGTGATCATCACAAAATCTGTCTTTTGCCTTAAAAGCAGTGATTTGGCTGGTGAAATTGGGTAATGCAAAACCCTGTGCAACCCATACAGATAGAAGACCTGTTCCTTTTCCAAAATACTCTTCTCCAACCTTCAAAGCAGTCTCACTGTAAACAGAGCTTTTCCTGGACCTCAGTCTGCTCTGTCTGTCTAGCTTCACTTGCTGGAAAAAAAGAAAGGGACTTAGCTTCTGGGCCAGTCTCGAGAGGATTACATGCATTTGTCCCTTAGATGAACAGTAGTAGAAAGGAAAGAAAGGCATATGTCTGCTGCACCACACATTGGTATTTTCAACAGCTGAGACTAATTACGTGTGAGCCTGCAGAGCTGAACTGCTGCGGTGGCGTCTGTCTGAGCAGAAGCGGAAAAGCTCTGTGAGGAGCCCATGCCCTGGGGTGTGCGTAGGGAAGTTAGTTTGGTGTCTGGACATGTCTGAACTGTCTCTAGAGTGTACACAAACAGCAGCAGTCTCAGACAGCGGGCAGGAACCACGAATATGCGGCGAACAGTTAGTGCATCCTGGGACAGCGCGGCATAACCGAGCAGCCCTCTTCTTCCAAGAGCTGCAGTCTGCATCAAAAAAGAGTATCATACAGGCCCTTTATTAACTAGGGGGTGCGTGCTCTTGTCTTCGTCGCTGCTGATCTGCAATTATCACTTCAGTTGGCTGATAAGGTAGCTGATGACGGCCGCCGCAGGGCAGACCCACCGAGCCAGTGCCCCCGCTGCCGCAGAGGAGCCCGGCGGGACGCGCCCAGGGCGCCCGGGGGAGCGCGGCTTTGGAACAGCGCTACGTTTTCCGTGCCCTCTGCAGTGACACCTGCCGTCGGCGCCGTGCATGTGGATGGATTTCAAACGCTGGTTTTTACAAAGAGCTCTGACATTTTGCACGTAGGTCTTTTGAAGACCCAAAAGATCGGCCTGCTGGCCAGTTAACTTCAACTGGATATTCCAAATAAACCTGCTTTCGTGTTCTTCTGACATCGTCCTTATAACTAATATTAACATTACCAATTTTACTGTTTCATGCTGACTAGCAGCAGCAGGAGGTTTGTAACACAGCTTACCAATAAGTTGCCATGTCAGACAGACAAAAAGTCTCTGTGCGATCAAATTTGAGCTCTGACTTGCTTTAGTGTTGTTGTGCTCTCCACAGCAGAGAATATTATATTCAGATCCTCGTGCTTGTTTTACCAAATGTCGTGTCTCAGCATTTGTTTTACTTGTCCCATTTCTGCTCTGGTACTCTTGTGTTCTCAGGTTGCAGTTGTTCAGCTGCATCTTCTGAAGATAGCACGGATAGAAATATAATCTAGAGAGCTCACCAGGAGCCATGTCTCCCAACAGTCTATAATTTGTTCTTACCATGCAGACATATTACCTCATTTTTTAAATTAAATTACATTATACAAGGCCAACTTGGGTTTAGACATGAGAAATTCAGAGTTTGCTGATTATTTGCTCTTTCCATCATTTCCAGCTGAGAGCTGTATTTTTAAAAATGCTATTTTTTTCTGGACAACTTTGCCCATTTCCAAACAATGATTAATTTATACTTAAAATGGAATAGGGGATTAAAATGAGAGAAAATTTATGATTACCAGATGCACACAATACTTATTAACATAGATAGTTCCCTTATTATATTAATTTTACATGAAGATATGTGGAGTCTGTCATCTGGAATTATAACTACATTGACATACAACACAACACACAGAGTCACTTCTGACAAGCCTCCAGATTTCCCCAACTCCATTCTGCAACGAGCCCTGGGCACCCAGTAGCCTCCTCCCTATGCCCTGCTTTCCATGTAGAAGTAGGCAACATGTAGGGCTTACGTGAGCAATGCTGCAATCCCAAGTAAACAGTAAACCTGGCCTATAGTGTATTTTCTCCTACTTACCTAACCTTTTAGAGTCAACACCAGTGCAACACAGGTAATGAGTATGAGCTAGATAAATGCACTGGTGGTGTCGCATTGTCTTCGTTAAAGGATGGCTACAGCTCCCTATAACAAAGGGCCTGACATAGTAACAGCAGATGCAGATTGACAACTCTGAGCTGAGGTTGAATGTGTGGCAGTACTCCTGCCTCCCATACGCAGGGTAGTCTTTCTTTTTTTTCCCAACAGATTCAGGTATTGTGAAGCTCTTCCATGATAAACATGACTCCTTTTCTCTTAATGCAAATATAACTAGGCACCTGGAATCCTAAGCGCCCAAAACTGAATTTAGACACCTCACATTATATTAGACAAGTCAGGAAAATTTACTATTTTCAACTAACACTGATTTTTTAAGTATTAGCTCATGTAACATCTGTTGTTGAAATTCCTTCTCTATTCAGTGAAGTGGATTGTGATGTTTTCTATCTTAACTGTTTGATAAACAGCTTTGTCTGGTTTCTCTTGTGCTTCTGTCCAGCAGAGGAAGCAACTGGCAAATGAAATGAACCTACCCAGTTTCCTGGACTGGATTCTGATTTGTTTGCTTATTTGATCACATATTTAGTTGTCTCTTAGCGTCTCTATAAGGCAGTACAATAATCCTTGCCATGCAGTTCTGTAAGAAATCAGAAACTAAGGGAAAATTTCATTTCTTCATATTACCAGCACCTCATTTTGGAGAAAGATATTGTTAAACAAGACTATTAGAAGACTTACACAAAGATTATTATGCCCCTGTTATTACACTCTCTCCCTCATAAAGCAATAGTGATAGCTGTAATCATAATCCAGTGAATTCCAATCTTCATGAGAAAAGCTATTATTTCTAAATTAGCTGGAATATATATCTGAAAATAGTTCACTATTTTTTCTTATACTGAGAATAAGAGAATTTTCTGACTTTTAAATTGCATATTGGCATTAGAAGGATAATAAAGACTTCTTTCTTCAATAGGTTTAAGAAACCTGAATAATCTGTTTATAACAAATATATGCTGCTGGTGTGCCTTCTAGAGAAGTGCTGAGTACATATCCCTGTCTTTAAATAGAAAGCAGTCAAAGGATAATTGCAGCATTTATAAACACTGAGAGCATTCCAAGTAGGAAGGAAAAGATGGTTCTGTGGTTCAAGCATAAGAAAAAGAGAATATCTGGGTTACATTCCTCGACTGGACAGATAACCAGATAACCATTATAACCTTGAGTAAAATGCTTCATCTGTGCTTGTCTACATTCCATATTTTATTCTGTATAAAATGGGGATTCTAACCCTTTTCTGCCTCAGGGAATACTAAAAATATTTGTGCAGGGACAGACATCCTGAGATGGAAGGTGTTATCTGACTTATTATAAATGAAAACACAGGATATGGCTACACAGGCT